GCCCAGCTCCACCCACACCAGCCCCTCCTTCAGAAGCCCTCACCTCTCAATGACAGCTTCCCAGGCCCTACTGCCTCCCACTCCTGGCTGCTAAGTCCTGGTCACGGGCACCCAGGCTCCCCTCCCACCACCTCCCCTTGCCCTGCCACTGGGCAGTGCCCTGGCCCTTGGCTGTGCTGAAAGGACATGTCAAAGGGACACCCGAGCCACTCAGATGACTTCAGGCACTCTTGGGCACAGGACACAGAATTCTCCAAACAAGCCTTATAAGCTCACACTGAAAAGTTTACAGGAGACAGCACCGTTTAAGATGCCACCACAATGCCAGCCTGCTTCCCCTTGACCACTGCTAATCTGATTCTGTCATAATCAAAACACTGAACCAGAAAACCCACCCAGAGAGTGGCATTAGACAAGCTCATCCCCTGCAGCCACCATCCTGTCCTCACTAGCCTGGTGACTCCTCACCTGCCCTGCTCCAGCTCAGAGGTGGCGGGAGGATCTGGGTCAGGAGTGCACAAGCTGGACAAATGCTCAGTCACAGGGACCAAATGAGAGCACCTGCCCAGTGGCAGAGCAAGGGGAGGTGGTGGGAGGGGAGCCTGGGTGCCCGTGACCAGGACTTAGCAGCCAGGAGTGGGAGGCAGCAGGGCCTGGGAAGCTGTCACTGAGAGGTGAGGACTTCTGAAGGAGGGGCTGGTGTGGGTGGAGCTGGGCCTGGGCAGGCATGCAGGAAGGCAGGTGGGCTGCCCTGGGCAGGTGGCCAGGCCAGGGTGGACTGAGGCCACCAGTCCCAACTCCAGAAGGAGTTCTGCCTTTTCCCAGGGAGCTCAGGCCAGGGTGGAAGGACAAATGGGCACCAGCACACACAGTATGTCACCAGCAATCACCATGCAATCCAAAGCCAGAGGCTTGTCACCACGTCACTCAGACAACTCAGCATTCAGACCTCATACACGGAGACCACCTCTCTCTCTCTCTCTCTCTCTCTCTCTCTCTCTCTCTCTCTCTCTCTCTCTCTCTCTCTCTCTCTCTCTCTCTCTCTCTCTCTCTCTCTCTCTCTCTCTCTCTCTCTCTCTCTCACACACACACACACACACACACACACACACATACACACACACATACATGCGCGTGTGGTGTCCTGGCCTTTACGTCCCAAGGTGGTTATTATTTCTTTGCACTTGGATTTGAAGCTTTTCACATGCTGCTCACCTGACTATAAGGTGAATGAGCTCACGGCCAAATAGTTATGCCTCCCATGGGTAGGGCTGACTGTTCCAAAGCCACTGGCATAAATTTCAAACCAAACTGTGTGTTTTCCTACTGCAAATTGTTTTCCTCATCAACGGTTGATGATCACATGAAAATTCTTGATGAAAAATGTAGAATCTAAATTTAACCCAAGTCCAAAATATTTGCCAGTTGTTTCAGAAAACAAAATCAAAATTCTTCACTTTGGCAAAAATTATCTACTGAGAAAAACTATAGAATGTAAGATAGAATTGTCAACTTATAAAATAATAACCAATTTAGTGTCAAATGAATATATTTGATCCCATTAATAAAATTAAAGAGCAAAGGACTTTCAAGTAAATAAATTAGAGTTTTGGGGTTTTTTTTTAATTTCCAGAGCTTGATCTTAGGAGTTTGCTAATCTTTGACAGTTTCTACTTTATTTCCAAGGAGGTTTATGTGCCATCACTATCTGACCTTTGAAAACTAGAATGGACATTTACCATGTGTCCCCAGGATGCCAGCTTTGCCAATGACGTGTAGCACCAACTTCAGATGAGACTGATGCTCACCTGCCCTCTGGCTAAAAATAGCTGCCATCGATGTCAGGAATGGCAAATGTTCTCTGCCTACTCAACAGCCCATTAGGCCACTCAGTGAGAGAGGCAGATGAATCTCACACTAAAGGGCAGCCTCCACTTCACCAACACGTGGTGCCCCAAACCTTTGCAAATATCAGTGGCAGAGATGGTTTCGATCAGTTAAAAATAGATCTGTGAGCACCTCAATTCACAGCATAAGCTGCACACTGGTTTTTGCACAACCCAGCGGCACTACAGTTCAGGAATGAGGACCCTGAAGACATCAGGCTCAAGAACATTCCACAAACCCCAGCATCAGCCTCCTCCCTCCTCCACCAGCGCCATGCAACATATTTTCAGTGGTATTGCGACCTACGTGAATTCCAGAAGTCTACTGGATAGACAGCCAGAAGAGTTTCATCAGGTTTCCCTTGAAGTGCATCTGTGCAACTGATGCTAAAATAATCCTCCTCCTTGCTGAAAAACTTTCACAAACTATTTTCATTGCTAGAAACAATTTTATTATATCATAATTATCGTAATTATGGCATTGCCTCATAATCACTTGCTGTGTGAATGTATCTCTCTTTCCCCCACCCTCATTCTCCTCCAGATGTAAGCTGCGGCCTCAGTAACCACCATGTGACGGTACATAAAGAAACACAGCAACTTTGGTTGAACTGAATTTGAATTGAAGCTGTTATGTCAATAACTTCTTCCTCCTTATATTCCATTATAACCCCTATGACTTAAATTACATTTAAGTGGTTATTCAACAAGGCCTATTGTGTATCCTGAACATCCCTCTAAGCCTCTACGGCTTCTATAACCGACTACACTAGACCAGTGGTCGGCAAACTCGTTAGTCAACAGAGCCAAATATCAACAGTACAACGATTGAAATTTCTTTTGAGAGCCAAATTTTTTAAACTTAAACTATATAGGTAGGTACACTGTTATTAACTTAATTAGGGTACTCCTAAGGCTTAGGAAGAGCCACACTCAAGGGGCCAAAGAGCTGCATGTGGCTCGCGAGCCCTAGTTTGCCGATCATGGCACTAGACCAATGAAATGTGAGAAATAAGCAGTCATGGTCATGTATCTATGAAGTTAACTCCTTACATGTCTACCTCCAAAAAGGAAATTAATAGGCCCAATTATTATACCATCTGAGGCAACACTCACATTAGGATTAAATAGCATATGGTGTGCTTTACTGAATGGCTAGCACATAGAAACAGTCTTTGAACATGACCTCTCTGGCCCATTTCCCAGTTAGTGTCTCTCATGATGACAAAGCTTGTAGGGACAACCGTTTGGGTAATGCCTTTCCATCCACTGACATCTGCCCTATCATTTCGAGCTAGTGGCAGGTAGAAACAACCATCCTGGCCACAGCTTCTTCCTGAAACCAATGAATGATTGATCTGTTTTGTTTACTTCTGCTTGTCTCTCTCACCTCCCACTCCAAACTACGGTTGTTTGATTAAAGCCAAACCAAAAAGTGAAATATACCTGGAAGGCCCAGGCATGCAAAAGATAACCAGGCAGCAATAAGGAGAAGAAAGGTGTTTTTGGCCTTCATCAAAGTTTACCATTCTTTTTATCAAGAAACAATAAAAGGCCCTCATTCACATAGCAATGTAAACTGAATCTTAACCGTGAGACATGTGAAAAAAGCCAGAATAGGAAAGAAATGACAAAAAACAAGGGCAGCATGAGGCTTACTAAGGAGTAAGGATGTGTTCACCTGAAGAACCGTGCCAGCAATGAAGGCGAGTTTCATGACACACAGCAGGTAGCCCCCATGGAACAGAAGGGTAAAAATAGCCAACTAGCTCTGATTGCTCATTAAGTCACACTTCCATCATAATTTAAGTCTCTGAGGATCTCTGACCAAGAAATTCCCCAACAATAGAAGCGGATATTGTGATCTTTGCTAAGCAATTGCATGAGAACCAGGGTCCCAAAGCCTATCACTCTGAAATAAAAACTTGTAAGTAGAGGGCCCCACCCGAATGCAAATTCCCAAAGTGATGTAGCCCAGAACCAACAGCAATCAGCCTGAAACGCTGTGCAAAGGATGACACAAGGGATTAACAGGTTGCCACAATAATACTCCAAGCAACTGGGAGACAGGTTCCAGTGAAATCCCAGGAGTTGGTTGGGTCAGGTAGGCGAAATCTCAAATGCCTACCAGGGTAGTGATGAACAATCACTGATCAGCATCTAACTGCTAGTTGTTTTTTGTTTGTTTGTTTTGTTTTTGTCTTAATGTTAGAAGCAGACTCCTCAGATCTATAATACAATCAAAACCAATTGAGGCAATTCTGACTCACAGACATGGACACTTTGAGGACCTGCCTCCATGTGCTGAGACTGTCCACAGGCCTCGGAAGGAGGCACATCCATCTGTCCAGACCAAGCTGTTGATGGGCATTCAAGCCCCCGAGCCCTCCAAAGGTCACAGTCAAAGAAGAAATCAGGTGTACTTACGCAGGGCATGCCACTCATCCTGGCGGATGGTCTTTGTGATGTTGAAAGTGAGGTTCCTTGGGATGGTGGCTGAGGAGTAGTGGTATTTGATGTATGTGCATCGCTCAATTTCTCCTGGCAAAGATAGACAGGAAACCAAGTGTTAATGAGGCAGCAATCATTTTGGGGGCAGTTTCCAGGATCCATTTTTCTGTGGGGAAAGGGACCGGTTTTATATTGACCCTAGTGACACCTACTCTTTATGCAAGGCAGTAACTTTGACTCCAAAAGAATAACAGAGAAGAACTAATATCAGACACCAATCAATTTAGATTTTAAAAAAAACATATCTCTAGCATCATTCGGAGATGGGGCGGACCACAGTTTAGGCTGATGGCTTGCTAAGAAGGTGGTACCCATGTTTGTTTAATCTTAAGAAACTCAACTTTCAAGTCAAGGCACCGAAAGACATTATTGGTTTGCACCCCTGGACCAACTGAGAGCAGACTTCAACCTTAATGATGTCATTTGTTAGAGGGGCCGCTTCCCTTTTCTCTATCCCATCCCCCAACCTTACCTGTGAACACAAAGCACTCAGATCAATCCCTATCTCCTTGAATCGGTCTCTTCTCAGATTTCTTAGACAAAATTAAAGCCCCTTAACACACTCAACAAGTCAACGACTGGTCCAATAGGACTTTTACTGATTTGTTTTTATTGACCAATGCATGCTTGGTTAGTCAAATTATCAAAATTTTCCAAGATTTCACATCAGAGGCTCTCAAGTGATGGTTCTGGGACTGCAGCATCAGCATCCTCTGATTATTTGCTAGAAATGCAATTTCCCAGGCCTGACCCCAGACCTACTGAATCAGAAACACTGAGGTCAAGACTGCAATCTCAATTTTAATAAGCCCTCCAGGTGATTCTGTTATACACTTAAGTTTGAGAACCTCTGCCTTGGAGAAGGTAATAGAATTGCCAATGTATTAATTCATAAATCCACCATGTTTGCAAATTCCAACAGGAAGGCATGATTAGGAGTTCTTCCCTTGACACTCTTAGTCCCTGCAGGCATTTCCATGGACGTTTGCTTATTTGAGGGATATTAAAACCCAATGTCAGGGCATCATGAAGAATCAGGAAAGGAATGATTTTTAAAGGTTAGAGGTTTTAAAATTTGGTTTTGCACCTGAATAGATTTTGATGGTAATCCATTTTGCACCCCACTGATTTTCAATTTATAAGTGGTGGCACCTGATTGAATTGTTTGACCCCTGGTTCACTGTCAGCAGGGAAAGCTGGCAATTGGAGAAGTGCAATAATTTAGACAGTGCCTCTCGTGAAACCAATGCCTTCCTGTAAATCATGCCTGGACAGCTGCCCAACTGCCAGTTATTGGCAGCCACTCTGCAATGGGACAGACGCTATCCAAAGAAGCGAAGTTGGGCAAAGTGCTATGCACTCTTTTCCTTTTGTCTTTGATTTGTCAAATCCTCTACTTCTGTCTCCTTAGCCTACAGCATCCTGAAGTCTCTCACATGCCCCCAGCACTCCCCCTGACACATCGCCACCTTGTCTTCATTCTCCCCTAACTTGCTACTTCTGGAACAAAGTAGGCTACCAGATGGGTCTCTACTTCCTCAATTCACATTCATACCTCAAACCCACACACTCCAGTTTCCATTACTAGCACAACCTCCCATCTGGTCTATGACATCCCAGATCCCACAATCATCCCAAGGCCTCCTCCTCTCCGGTGGTGCCCCTCCTCCCGGACATCCAACTGGCCACCAAATTCTGCCAGCTCTACCTCAGAAACGTCCCTGGGTCCAGCCTCTCTTCTCTGTCCCCACTTCTCTCTGTAGTAGTCACATGAATAAGGACTGATGTCAGTGGACAGCCCTGTTTACTGAGACTTACTAGGTAGGAGAGCCATGCCAAGTGCTTTGTAGATCTGCAATTCCCACCTTGACTTATGTCATGGTGCCCACAGAAAAGTGTGTGAGGACCTGGAATAAGCAGAAGTGCTGCCAGGCCCTGCCCAGCCTTCCTGGAGGCTGAAGAAACCAACATCCACACATGTAACCCCATTCATGTCCCGTACTTATCCCACCAGCAGGAACGCTGTCATGAATACTGTCCTACCTAATTCTCATACAACCCAATGAAGAAGGCGTTATTATGAACATCCCCCTATTTTACAAATAAGGACATGGAGGCTCACGAATATTGAGTGACTTGCTCAAGGAAGTAGCAGCTCAAGGATGAGAACCCAGAACTGTCTGATTGAGTTTCCCCCACCTGGCCACTCTCCACATTGCTGCTTGGAGTGTCTTCCAGAAAGGAAAATGTGGTCTTGTTTACCCCCACAGTACCCCACACTCCTCACAAAGCCCCAGCCCCCACTCCAGGTCCCCTTCAGCCCAGTCATCACACACCCTGGGCTCCAGCCAGGTGGCCCTTCCCACCTTGCCCCGACTGTGCCCTACCTGTTCAAGACACTGCACCTACTCTCCTCCCTGCCTTTCATCACATGATACATGTCTACTTGTCCTCAGAGGAGGTCTAAATGGCAACTCCTAGCAAAGTCTTCCTTGTGCCCACAGCGCCTAGCAGTAGGCATCACTGGCCCCACCCCCTCCTCCTCGGGCTCCTGTCCTGCCCAGCAAGCACACCCATGGGCTGTGATTTATCTGTTTACACGCCTCACTCCCCCACTAGATTATGAGTTTCTCAAGGGCAGGGACTTGTCTATCCATTCATCTTTATCTCCCTAGTTCCCAGCACAGGGTGAGCCCCAATAACATGTGCTTTGAAGAAAGGAATGACTAATATGAGGTGCCTTTTATAAGACCACAGTGGGCAAGGGACCCAACAGCTTCTATTATATACAGGGGATTGACATAATTGAGGCAAATTCCAACATAATGAATAAAAGGACGTGATTGCTGCAGAACTCTGTGTGTCAACAGCAACACTCCTTCCTTGTGCGGACAGTGTACAGAGAGGCTTATCAGTCACAGTGAGATGGAAGAAACGGCAAATGCACACAGGGGCCTCTCACTGCACCTGGAAATGTCATCCAAGGGGCAAATAGGACAGTGTTTTAAAAGAAAAAAAAGGAAGAAAAGAAACAGGAAAGATTTAAAACAAAAAAAAGGATAGAGGATTTTAACAAGAATACCATCAGCAACTACCTTGGCTGAGTACTACCTTGGACAGGTACCATTGAGCAGGTTATGCCCTGACAAGAAGACCTCTGAGGATACCTGGATGCTGAAATCAAGCCACTGCCCCACTCACTGTGCGTGCCCCTGTTGAGATAGGGGAGCATTGCCCCTGCCAGAGGGACTGCCTCAGTCTAACCTGCACAAGGATGTCATAGCAGCTAGCAGCTGCCCTACACGCAACAATTTGAAGATCAAACAAAATACTCCCAGACAAAATCCCACTGGTTACAGCCAGATTGGCGCCCACCACTAATGTCTCAGAAAAGTACCTGATTTGGGGCTAAACTCAGGTTATATCAGTGTCAAAACAACTCAACAAATAACCACAGGTTCCAGGTGGGCTGCAGTCACCTCCCTTAGCCCCAGTCTCCGGCAGCACACTCGGCAGGAGCAAGGAGCTGGCGACAGACACCTCAGGTGGCCGGCCAGGGAGCCTGGCGGGGCCTCTGCCACAGCTGTGGCCTCGTTGGAGGCCTCACTGTTTCTTTGCCTCAGGGACACGAGCATCCTGCCTCGACAGCAATTAGGTTCGAAAGACTTAAATATTGCCTGAGAAGAGAAGCAAAATATTTATCCATGTGTCTGCGGGTCCTGTCAGTGTGCTGGGCTTTTGTAAACACAAGCACCATCTGGGCACCAAATTCGTGTGCCCAGAATGTGGGCTTCCCAATGCAAACAGGTTTTCCTGCCACGAATGGGGAAGAGGGGCCACCTGGGAGGCAGTAGCAAAGCCCAGGGCCTTACCTGGGAAGATCAAGCCTGTCTTCCAGACTCCTGCATTCCAATCAGAGACAGAGCCTCCCCTCAGGAAGCCTCAGCTAGGAGATTGGAGGCACTTGGGGGTAAGGGACACTCTACACCTTCAACCTTCTGAGCTGGTGACCCTCCTACATGTCAGGGTCCTAGACAGACAGAATAGCCACACGGGGAAAGGAGGAGAGTTTCAAAAAGGGACAATTTACAAAGCTGGGCAGAGGGTGTAAACAGACCCGCAGAGGGTGGTGCAGGGACCTGGTGCTGGCAACAGGAGTTGGCATAACACAAAGGCCCAGAAAGGGAGCTGTCACCTGACATGAAGAGGGTGGCTGTATGGAGAGGTGATGCAGCCTTTGGCAGAGAGTCACAGCCAACCTGCGGTGAGGGGGCAGGGTATAAACACCCAACCTCTCCTCTTCCCTCCGTCATCTCCTGCCTGTTCCCCCCAAAAGCCGAACCCAACTGGAATCCAGAGAGTGGGCCAGTCTTCAGGACCAGAGAAGAGGTACAAGGCAGAGACTGGATCCAAGGGCCAGATACAGGCTCACTCCCCCTGAGGCTGGAAATACAAGAGCACCGGTATACCCAGGACAGATGATAACACAGAGACCAGGACGCACACACATTGAAGTCTAGATCTGACCACACCTTACAACCATACCAGCAGGAGGTTTTCCTCTCACGTGTATCCTGAGTACTTAGGGAAGGAGTCTATTACTCAAGAGTAATAGCAGGAGTCTTCTTAGGCAGAGTGATTTCAGAGGCAGCGCTGGGACCCACCCCCACTCCATCAAAAATTATCTTCCCTGAGCAGGTGCCATAATACTTTCAATTCTTCCATTAGAGTCATTCCTTTGGGTCAGATATTGTTCTCTTAGGCACACATTTTTAAAGTTCTTTTAAATAAGTCTGAAGAAGTAGCATGAGTCACTAATGCTTAGATGAGAATGGGCTTCCACAGTCCCCTCCCTCCAGACCAGAGAGAACCTAAGCAGCAGAGAAAAGAGATGCTGAGAAAAGCATGAAGGACCCATGGCAGCTCCTGAAGAGGTGGGGGGTAAGCTCCAAAGACAAACCCACAACTTCAAAACTGTTCCCAGCATTGGCCAGAGTGGGCCTGAGGAAGACCCAGAAACAGAACTCCCT